GCTGGGCATGGTGGCATGCGCCTGTGGTCCCCGTTACTTGGGAGGCTGAGACAGAAGGATCATCTGAGCTTAAGAGGTCGAGGCTGTGGTGAACCTGACTGTGCCACTGGGCTCCAGCCTGAGTGACAGAATGAGGCTCTGTCTCAAAACAAAACCAAAGATCATGCCGGAAAGATGTCATGCAAACCGTCAAGGGCCACACAAAGCAAGTGGTGCCATTGCTATTTACACCGAGTTCACATTACAGAGTCCCAACATGGGGTTTCTGGATCTAGTGTAGAAGAAAAAGGGAGATCTGTGCCGGCTTTGAACCAGGCTCGAGTCCTGAGTGTGTCCGTCTCTGTTGGGAGAGACCAGAGCCCAGCTCAGCCCATGTTAGGCCCTGGCCAAGGTGGTAGCCCTCAGCAAACGTCCAAACAGCTGGCATTTGTCTCCTGGGGTCTCCTGGGTGGCTGTCATGTTTGATCCCACATCCCCTCTGATGGCCGGTATCGCTGCACCTATTTGACAGATGAGGCCCTGAGGCTCAGAGAGGTCAGATGCCTCACCAGTCACACGGAGGGAACAGCACAGCTGGCTTTCAGAAGAGGCCACTCCAAGGCCTGGGCTAAGACTCCGCCCTGCCTGCACTCTGGGCTTTTGGACGGGGTGGCGGGGGAAGGGGCAGTCGACCCAGGAGGCCTGCTGGAGGTGGAGGGCTCTGCCGCTGCCACTATCGGACGGAAAGATCTCTTGAATGGACCCCATAGGAAGCGGCACGAATGCAGGACCCTTGTAGAAAAGCGACACATGCCCAAACGATAAAATAGCTCTTTTTTTATTCACTCTGATTCGAATCATTGGAAATATTCAACAATAAATAAAATAGAGCCGGACGGAGGCAAGCGGGGTCTTGTTCCCCGTCGTCCCAACGCGCGTCCAGCTCAGTGCTCAGGGGGGCAGAACAGGAGGAGAAAGGGCGGACGGGACGGGAGGAGGCGAGCCGGGGTCAGACAACCGACCCCTGAAACACGGGGCTGTGAAGAAAAGTGCTCGAGAAACTTTGGCTTTGAAGGGAGTTGGGTGAAACGACAAAGCGATTGTGCAGGGAGAAGGGGCCGCCCCCATGGTCCCCCGGGCGCAGGCTGGAGCTCAGGACCCCACTGACGGCACAGCCTGTCCCAGGACGGAGGCGGAGGGACAAGCTGGCACACTCAGGCAAGGTCGCCTGGGGGGCTGGGAGGGACAGTAGGAGACGCAAAGCCCCCCCTGCCGGTGGGAAATTCAGTGATCGTTCGGTAAGCAAAAAACCAAAAAAATTAAAAAGCAGCTGCGAATGCCCGGATCCTGCCACCCTGTGGGATGTCACTGGCCGTCCCTGCCTTTTCATCCTAATTCTTTTCTCTGCACGGGTGTCAGGTGACACCCCAGGGGACAAGACCCGGGGACACTGAAGAACCAGGAAGTGGAATTTCCCTTGGAACTGCCAGCCCAGATGGCTACAAAACAGTGTCCACGCCAGACATGAGGTCCCTGGGCTCTTCTGTGGGGCATGGGCAGGTGCTGGTGGCTGAAGACACACGACCCATGTCCAGCCACCCCCAGCTGCACCGTGGCTGCTCGGGGCCGGGGCCTCCCTGCACAAAGTACTTCTTATCCCAGCCAGACGAGTTATTTTGGTTTCTGTCTTATTTTCAAGCTACGTCCAGGTTCTTGGACCAGGGCAGGATTCACGGGGAGGTAGGATCGGCCTCCAGCACCCTCTTCTGGCCACAGCAGGCACTGGGTTCCACCCTGGCCTCCTGGTCATCCTTCCCCAGCAGAATCACTTAGCAGCCCATGACTGCTGGTCCTCCCTCCTTTCGGGTGTCCCTAGTTGATGCTCTAGGTCCTCGTATCTGGCTCTTCCCACTAAGCCTGGCGCAAATGGTCTGCTGGACGATGCCCAGCAAAGCCAGAGTCTCAAAAGACGACCACCCACTTCTGAATGACTTCCCTGCCGTGTCGCGTCCTGCCAGGGAGCCAGAGGCTGCAAACCTGCCGCCCTCGCTCCCCTGCCAGGTGGCTGAGGGCAGGGGAGGGGCGGGACAGGCCCCTCCAGTTCTGGAAACTCCACCTCCTGGCTCTCTGGGGGAGCCTGGAGGCTGCTGAGGTCCCACTGGTCTCCCCCATCAGCCTCCACCCCGGCGGCTTCAGGCTCAGCACTGACCCCTCTGCTTTGGAGACTCCTAGCCTGAGCATGGATCCAAGTCCGCAATGAGCACGAAGGAAGGTCGGGCTGGAACCGGAAGGCGCTGCAGACATTCCAAACCCACCAACTGGACCAGCCCAGGGCCGGTCTCCAAGGAGCCTTCTACCTGCAGGGTGGACAGGGCCCTGGGCTGGGGTTCAAGGTCCGAGGGTGTGCCTGCCACTGCCCAGCTCAATCGGTCCTGCAGGGAGCCTCCACTTTCCTGCTGGTGGCATGCCCGGTGGCCCCTGGGAAACCCTCCTGTCTGACCCCCAGGCATCCTCAGTCCAGGGCTGGGCTCCAGTAGGCTTCAACCAACTGGGGCCTCGAATCCTGGCCACATCAACGGGCTTTTTCTCCATTAAGGAGTCATTGCTGAGCCAGGGAGACACAGAGCTATCTGCCGGTGATGGGAAGGAAACAAGTCGCTTCCACCGTGGGAGGCGGTGAGAGGGCAGAGACCAGAGCCTGCCATGGGCCACCGGGCAGCCTATGTACAGAGACAGCAGCAACAGACACCCGCATTCTGGTGATGCCAGGGGGGGAGTCTCGCTGGGAAAGCCTGCCTCCGGGCTACTGTAACATGGCACCAGGAATGCCCTCTCTGGGCTCACCTTCTGACTTACGCTCGCCATCACAATCGAATGTCACGGGGGCAAGTCACCTCCCTATTCTGGGCCTTGCTTTTCTAATCTGTAAAATGGCAGAGCTGGGTTTGGTGGGCTGGAAGACACCTGACAATGCGAACAATCCGGAGGGGGACAGGAGGCCAGACAACGGAGCCAGGCCAACTTGGTGGAACCCAGAGCTGTGGACTGTCATCCCTTACCAGACTCAGCTTTCCCGAGAAGGGGAAACAGAGCAGGAGGCAATACCGTTCCCTGTGTCCTGCCTACATATGTCAAGTTTGTCCCTGGGATTAACCAATCAACAGATATTTGCTGACGTCTTCACATCCCAGACTGCTGTGGGCCCCTGAGCGTGGAGGAACGTCATCTGTCTAATATCACAGCCCGTGACCAGCCCTCTCGGTCAAGAAAGTCTTAAGTCTGGAAGGATTTTAAAGCTGAAACAGGGTTTTCTTGGTTTGTTTCACACTTTCTGGATTGTGATTTTTCTGAGATGCTAATAAAAGCTATGGGACCTCTCCCCAGAAAAATGCTCCTATGCACAGATTCAGAAGAAAAAAAAAAATCACACTGGGCATGCAATTTCTGGGCAGCTCGAAGTCACCTGTGACCCCTGATTGAGGGCCCGAGTTCCCGTCATTCCTCCCTCCCTGTGTGCAGAAGGAACCCTGAGCCTGGGAGGCAGGTCCCAGGGCTTCCGAGACTGCACCCTTCACAAGTCACCAGGAGGCGGTCACACTTCTCCACTGCAGTAGCAGCCTTTTAGGAAATGCATTCAATGGGAAAAGGGGTTTTTCTGAGGAAACATCAGTAACTGGAGCCGGCAGTTGCCCTCTCCCTACTCCCCACCTGGCCGCAATAAGGTTCCACGGAGCTTTGGAGACTCCTAGCCTGAGTATGAATCCAAGTCCACAGTGAGGAAGAAGGAAGGTCGGGCTAAAACAGGAAGGCGCTGCAGACATTCCGAACCCACCCACGAGCCCCACGGGGTCCGCCACCACCAGCCCCAAGCCCCAACGCCCCAAACCTAACGATCCCTGCGAACTTTCCCTTCAGCCCTGTCCCCAGCAGCTGGAGGAAGCAGCTGTGAGCTCAGTTACAGTCCCAGGACCAGCAGCAGAGCCAGGGTGCACACCATGTCAGTTGAATGTTTCCAAAATCAATAAATAATCAGGAAGGCTGAAGAGAAGGAGAGAGAATATTCAGGAAGGAAAAGCTGAGGTATGTGCTAGTTACCATTCCAGGGATGCCCCCCAGCCGGACCCCCAGGACACCTGGAGGTGGCCAGCAGGGGCTTGGCCCAGAGCGTGGGCCCTCGGAGAAAATGCCGCTGGATGCCTCCCGGGGACTGTAGGGTGACAGGCACCAAAGCCCGCAGTCTGAGAATGCGTGTGTGTCCCATGGCTGACGCGCCTCCGGGTGTCACTGAGTCCCTCCCGAGTCCTGTTCCCAATTCAGGCGACGGCTCGGGAAACTGGAAAAGGCATTCCCAGCTATGGAGCGGGGGGTGGGGGGCATTGGTGGGGTCCCCTTTCCCGAGTTGGGGCTTCTGTCTCATTTCAGGCCCTGCATGCGTGTCTTCCCCAAGTTCAAAGGCACGTGGAAGGAGTGAGAGCCGCCCTCCCACGGTGAGAACAACGGAGATGGGTGACTCCAGGGAACGTCTTCCGGGAAGAGGGGTCTGCAGGGCTCAGAAATACGCTGCCACATCTCCACAGAGATCTCTAGGGCCGGAAGCCTGCCGTGGCCATCATGGCTGAGCTTTGGGATGAGAGGAACGGCGGGGTCATCACGCCAAAGGACAGGCCGGGCATCCTGCCGTGGCTGGTGCTGCCCGCCGTGGCCAGCGTGGCTCTGTCCTGGAGGCAATGGTCTCTCAAGTCCCTCTGCCTTCTCCCTGGGGTGATCGCCCTGTCCCTCAGAATATGGGTGTGTTCCCTGTCTGTCCCCAGCCCCGCCCTGGAAGCCAAGATGCTTCTAGTGTTTGAAGGCTGCCCGTCTCCCAGTGTCTCCCCAGCCCAGGGGCAGCCGGGGGCCACGTGCTCCCCACCCAAGGCAGGGTCTGAAGGGCTCAGCTGTCCCGGCAGGGTTGGGTGACCCTGCTGAGCAGATGTGGCCGTGGGCTGGGTGTGGGAGGCTGCAGGAGGCACCCGGCACCCCCAGGCTGGCCCTGGGAGCGCCCGGAAGGATCGGTTCCGGCGAGACGCGGGGGCAGAAACAAGAGATGCAAAAGTGCCCACTCGAGCTGTGTCACAGTGTCATCTCCCGTTGAAGATCCGGATTTTGTTGATGGAGGCCAAGGTGGCCGTCACGTTGGACTCAAAGTCTGCGTCGTGCACTCCTGTCTTGCGAAAAGCCCCCGCAGACGGGTTGTTCTCCCAGTAGTGGTGCCAGTTCCCCTTGCTGTCTGCCCCGAAGCCGTACAAGTCCACCTGCGGAACAAAGCAGAGGTGAGAACCTGACAGCAGGGGCTGTCTTCTGGAAAGGCACCTGCAGGCATTCCTGGAATCCCACCACAGTGAGTGCCATTTCCAAGGAGTCCAATGAACTTTGGGGCCAGGAACCACGATCACAGCAGGGCTGATGGGAGGGGGTTTCTTTTCTTCTGAGGCCTTTGTCCACCTGGCCCAGAGGCCCTCACGGCCACCGGACGGGGCCCTGCACGTGTGTGACACACACTGACCACACCCTGACTCGGCGCCGAGCACCCTGCTGGACGTGTTCAAGTTCAGGCAGAACTTTCTCAGACGCCACCTGGGCGGGTGCTGGGAAGTCAGGGAAACACACAGCGAGTGTCGGCCTCGGAGCTGGTAACTGAACGGCAGTCACCCACGGAGCTGACCCTGGAGGGACAGGGGCTGAGTTCAGGCCCCCACAGCCCATAGGTGGGAGCGGCTGGAGACCCAAGAGGTCAGAGGATGCTCTTCCGAGGACTTGACATTTGGTTTGGGTCTTGGAAGGGACCACGTGGAGGGGATTTCAGGGACAGGCTGTGCCATCTGGGCCTCAGCATGGACAGATCTGAGGCGTGGTGACAGGGTGGGGTGGGGACCACTCGGTGCCACGTGTGGCTTTTCAGGAAATATGCTGTGGACACGGGCTTGCCCCAAAGCAGGGACGTCAGGGCCGGAGGACCCTTTCTGAGGCAGAACCCTTGGGACCTGTGACCACTGGCTGGAGGCAGGCGGGTGGGGAGAAGATAAGGGAGCCCCAGGGGCAGCCAAGCCTGACCCCGCCTTGGAAGGCCCTTGACGCCTTCCTGGGATTTCCACTAGCCAGCCAGGGTGGGGATGGGGACGGGCCAGATGTGACAAGAAAGGACATCAGAGCGCCCTGCCTGAACCAAGGCTGGGAGGAAGTAGGGGATCACATGGCCGCCCTCCTGCTCCTCTGCCGGGGTGGCAGCCAGCCTCCCAGGAATCTGCACGCGGCGCCTGGAGAGATCACTGGTTCTCAACCTCGGTGGACAGAGGAACCCCTGGGTGCCGTATTCCCAGGAAGTCTGTTGAAAGTGGGCTGGGGCAGCCTGGGAGCTGGGATCCAGCCCCATAGATGGCCCCATAGATGGCCTGGGGGACTGAGAACCATGGCTTTAACTGAGTCTCCCTGCCAGCATCTGCTCCTTGTTGGCTGCTAAGTTCGAGATTCCCCCACCCACTGGTCCTGGTTCTGGTCCTGCCTTGGGCACTCCCATGGAATGTGCCAGAACTCTTGCTTTGGAGAACTTTCTCAGAGCACGGAGGCGCCCTCCAACAACCCAGGAGACCGGCGTCACGAGCCCCATCTAGTGACAGGGACCCTTAGCTTCCAGAGAGGACAGGCCAGGCCCGCTGTCTGCTTTCTCCCACTTCTCTTGGAAGCCTGGAACCCCGAGCCCCTTCTCTGGGCAGCCTGGCAAGCAGGGGAGGGTGGCATACCTCATCACAGACATGCAAGGAGAAGATGACCGAGAGAATGCCGGTGGACGGGTAGCGCCCATGGCCTTGCAGCCAGTTGTCAAAGACGTACTTGATGAAGGCTGGGTGGTAGATCAAGATCTGTGGGGAAAATGTGGCCCTCAGTGTGCTCCAGGGACAGATGACACAGAGTACCTGTCAGAGCCACAGGCCGCTGTGGCCATGGGGACACAGCCAGCAACCTGCGGGCTCCGTGCCCGTGGGAGAGGGGATGCTCACGCCCATCACCCAGAGGTGACAAGGGCTATGGGGACAGACAGGGCAGAGAAAGGTCGAACATGCCCCAGAAGGCTCCCAAGGTGACACTCAAATAAAAATCCAGGGAGGCCGGGGAAGGACACGGAGGTCACCCAGGAGAAAAGGCTCCTGGAACAGCTTGAGTGGAACCAGACACTGTCACTGCGTGAAGACACATAGTCGCCCGTCTGCTCCCCACGGCACTGGCCCTTAAGTGACCCTATGTTCCAGGGGTCGCTCCCCTCCTACTGCAGATGAGGCAGTCGAGGCTCAGAGAGGCCAAGTGACAGCGGTGGCCGAGTGGAGAGCGTCCCGGGACCAGGCCTGGCCTCGGTTCCACCACCCAAAGGCTGCACTGAGGACGGCAAAAGGGACTTCTCCCGGCAGGGCGTGTGCACCTCCAGGAAGCCAAAGCCCAGCCCCAGGAATGGCCTGGAAGGGTGGATTGTGCTGGTCTCTGGTGAACCGCTCACCTCTCAGCTCAGCCTCCGGGTCCCGCTGTCTCAGGGGTCTCCCTCCCACCGAGACACATAAGTGGCCTCTTCCCTAGGCAGCAGCACTCAGTGCCGAGGGCAGGGTGCTGGCGCACAGGGCGTCTAAAGTTCTAGTTGTCTCCTGAGCGAGCTGTGTGTCCCTGGGCAAGGGATGCGACCTCTCTGAGCCTGGCTAAATCTGATCTCGTGTGAAATGAGCCAGTGTGGTGGGCACTTGGCTTCCCTCTCCTTCTGGTCCTTTGCGCTTTGCTTGGCCAAACTCATCCCTGGGGAGCCGCTGGGAAAGGTGGAGGCCTGGAGGGACTTGGGGAGACGGGGTGGGAGGGATCCCCAAACTGCGGCCTGCATGGGCATCCCTGGGTGAAACCCAGACGGCGGGCGGCCCCCAGGGCCGATTCAGGAGGTCTAGGTGGGCCTGAGGATGGGCGTCTGTGACAAGCCCCTGGGTGACGCTGCTGGCCTCGGGCGCCCCTTGAGAACCTCTCCCCGGCAGGGAAGCCAAAGGGGGCGGCCCCCCCAGTCGCCCGGGGTCCTCGGGCTTTCCCGCAGATGGATCCTCTACCCTAGCACAGAGTCTCAGAAAGGAGGCCGGCGCTCAGGGCTGGGGCCCAGCCTCCACTCACCTTGTTCTGTTTCACTTTGATCTTCGTGGGGACAGGGACGTAAGTGCTGCCGAGGGAACAGAGAGGACGGTTATGGGCGGGCGGGGACCCAGGCAGGCAGCTCTGGGGGAGGACCGGAGAGCCAGGCAGGGGAGGCAGGGATGTCACCTGCCTGCGCCCGCGGGTCCGCCACAGCCGCGCCCTTCAGACACCAGAGGGCGACCCTGGCCCGTTCCAGGACGCCCTGGAAGGCTCGGATGAGGCCTGGCTCCAAGCGCGGCCTGGAGGAGCAGAGTGGAGGCCATGGGCCCTGGACCTCTCAGCCCCGAGCACCCGGCCCGGCTGCTGGGGCGCACGTGCCGAGGCCCACGTGGCCTCTTTCTCATCGGGGGCTACACACGCCCCAGCGCTAAGGCGTAAAAGCTCTCATCCTGTGGCGGGATTCACGCAGCCTGCAGGGGGCTGGGGCTGAGTCCACGCGTGGCCTCGCCCCCCGCCAGACGTGGGTTGCCTCCCTTGCTCCGTCTCCTGGGGACGCAGCCCTCCCTGGCCGGCCCAGGGCAAGGCCACTTGGGGAAATCCGGAAATCTTGACTTTTTTTGAGACAGGGTCTTGCTCTGTCACCCAGGCTGGAGTGCAGTGGCGTGACCATAGCTTACTGCAGCTTCCAACATCTGCGCTCAGGGGATCCTCCCGCCTCAGCCTCCCAAAGTGCTGGGATTGCCGGTGTGAGCCACCATCTCTCGCAGAAACATATAAATGGACATCTTACTAAAAATTAAAATTAAGGTTTCTAAATACATATATACTTACAATATATACATATATACATTTGGAGACAGGGTCTCATTGCTGCCCAGGCTGAAGTGAAATGGTGCAACCATAGTTCAGTGCAGCCTCCAGTTCCTGGGTCTCAAGCAATCCTCCCACCTCAGCCTCCCCAGGAGCTGGGATTAACAGGTGCACACCACGACACCTGGCTAATTTTATCTTTATTTCTTTTGTGGGGGTGAGGTCTTGCTATGTTGCCCAGGCTGGCCTTGAACTCATGGGCTCAAGCAATCCTCCTGCCTCAGTCTCCCAAAGTCCTGGGATTACGGGCATGAGCCACCGTGCCCGGGTGAAATCTGGAAATTCAGGCCACCGAATTCGGGAAGAGTCAGGGACTCGGGAACCAGGCCCAGATAGGAGCATGGGCTGTGTTGAGTTCAGCCCTGGCGAGGTGCTTGGCCAAGCCTGTTTCCCCGCTGGGAGAACAGAGCTAAAGCTAAAAGCTGTTGTGAGGATGGATTGTGGTGACACGTGCCAAGTGCATTGTCTGATCGGCCACCCACGCCTCACTTTCAGGGTAGCAGGCTAGCCTCAGGTCACAGCCCTGTGTTAGTGCTGCTCTGGCCTGCGGGGTACCGAGGCAGCCGGCATCCCCCACCCAACCCTCACCCAGCTCACTCCACAGGTTGAAAAGCGAGGGCTGTTAGCATGAGAGTGCCCCTCAGAAATAGGGGGGGGGGCAAGCACGGTGGCTCACACCTGTAATCCCAGCACTTTGGGAGGCTGAAGTGAATTCGAGACTAGCCTGGCAACATAGCGAGACCTCATCTCTACAAAAAAAAAATATAATATATATATATATCCGGGCGTGGTGGCGCGTGCCTGTAGTCCCAGCTACTCAGAAGGCTGAGGCAGGACGACAGCCTGAACCCCAGAGATCAAGGCTGTGGGAGTGGTGATCGTGCCACTGCACGCAGTCAGGGAGACAGAGTGAGGCTCCTACTCAAAAAAAAAGATATATATATAGAGAGAGAGAGAGCAAATTGGGAAATGTTAAAAAATACGTAAATATTAACAATGTTTACTACTAATAAAAAGAGGCAGAACTCAACTGTGCTGAGCCCTTCACTATCGCCCCCTTCCGAAGTCTCCAGAGTGTCCCGGGAAGCCGACCAGGAGGTCCCCTTGGGAATTGCCACCAGGATGATGCTACACCTGGTGGCCTGGGTAATGGGACTGGGACTCGATAGAGCTGGAACAGTGGGGGGGCACGGTCGGAGGAGCTGGGCTTGTGGGTGCCTCGGGGAGGGGAGGCAGCCAGGGTGGGCACGGCAGGACCCAGACAGGGTGGGAGGGAGG